TCTTCTCTTACTAACCTACATATACAAGGCAATTTCAATCATAATTCCTTCAAGGGTTTTTAATGGAATTTCATTATGTACTTCTCAAATTTATGAAAGTAAAAAGTCTAGTACAGACAAGACTTTTCAGAGAAGAAAGAATGTGAAAATTTACTCTACCAGATATCAAGACTTATAAAGCTATTGAAGACATCAATACAGGAATTTTTAAAAAATTGAGTAACTGAACATAATAGAGAGTGCAAAAATAAGCCTGTGGTTATTGATAAGACACTGTAGATCAGTGAGGAAAGGAGAGACTATTAAACAAATGGTCTACGACAATTTCACTACAAATGGGAAAAAAATAAAATTGGTTCTTTACCTCCCACCACAAACAAAACTAAAATCCAAGTGAACTAAAGGCTCTACATAATAGACAAAATACATTTCTTTTTTTAAAAAAAAGGTAAGAATATTTTTGTGATCTCAGAATACATAAGAACTTCTTAAGACATGAAGAAAAAATGACACATTACACATTAAAATGGAAGACTTGTTCATCAAGAGATACCACAAAAAGAATGAAAACATAAGCCACAAACTGAGAAAACATATCTTCAAAACATATATTTAACAAAGAATTCATATCCAAAATATAATTTTGAAAAAACACTTCCTGCAAATCACTAAGATAAAGAGAAATCAACTAACAGAAAATTGGGCAAAATGAAGTCGTTTCACAGATATATATTATTTAGGAATACATACATGAATGGCAAAAATTCAACTACTATTTTAGAAATAAGTAGAGAATAAAATATAACTAAATCCATCAAGTTTTATGAAGGCATAATTAATGAAACTACTATAGGAAAAAAACACTATGAAAATGGTATTTTTATTGAGGGGACAATTCAGTTCAATAAATATATAAATTCCCCCACAAATTATTTCATTAGTTTAATGCAATTCCAGTTAAAATTCCAGTAAGATTTTTTGGGGAAACTTAGCAAATTCATTAAGAAACTTACATGGAAAATTTTGAAAACTAAAAGGCAAAGAAGAGAGCTTCCTTATCAAATAATAAAATATGTTACAAAGCAATAGTAATTAAAGCAGTGTGGCATTAGGATAGAGATAAATAGACCAATGCAATGGAATAGAAAGTCTAGAAATAAACCTATTTCATATGAAAGTTGTTAATGCAATAGAGGTGCATCATATTTTGTGGGAAATACACTTACATTATTTAGTAAATCGTATTAGGAAAACTGGCTTACTACATGAAGAAAAATAACATTAGAATCCTTTATTATCTCCAAATAGACTAAAGATCTCAATGTAAAAAATAAATTGTGTGAAAGTTGTCAGAATCAAAATGGTGTCACTTGTGTTAAAAACTCTGACAAACAGAGCCAGGGACGGCCAGGAAGGAAGGGCTCCCATGGCAAATCCCCTTTTTAAAATTATCAAAAAGACTCTCCAAAAAACACAATCCTGCACAAAGGTCACCACAACCTTACACAGAAAAAATATTTCTATGATGACATCTGCCCAGCAACTGCCTGTCCAACCAAGCCAAGGATAATTATTATTATTATTTTTTTGTGAGACAGAGTCTCGCTCTGTTGCCAGGCTGGAGTGGAGTGGTGCGATCTCGGCTCGCTGCAACCTCCGACTCTCTGGTTCAAGCAATTCTCCTGCCTCAGTCTCCCAAGTAGCTGGGAATACAGGCACGCGCCACGACGCCCAGCTAATTTTCATATTTTTAGTAGAGACAGGGTTTCACCATGTTGACCAGGATGGTCTCGAACTCCTGACCTTATAATCCACCCACCTCAGTCTCCCAAAGTGCTGGGATTACAGGCGTAAGCCACCACGCCTGGCTAGGATAATTATCTTCAACAATTATGTAATCCTCCTAACTTTTCCCTTAACAGACTTTGTCTTTCTTTACCTCTCTGAATACACACAGTTTACTATGGTAAGTGTATTCCCATTGCAGTGCCTTGTCCTGAACAAATATCATTTTCTTTTAGAGAGTATCTGTTATTTAGATTGACAATTTAAAAAGAAGAAAATGGGCTGGATGTGGTGGCTCACGCGTGTAATCCCAGCACTTTGGGAGGCTGAGACAAGAGGATTGCTTGAGCCTAGGAGTTCAAGACCAGCCTGAGCAACAAAGTGAGGCACCGTCTCTAGAAAAACTAAAAAAAAAAAAAACAAAATTATCCAGGCATGGTGGTACATGCCTGTGGTCTCAGCTACACAAAAGCCCAAGGCAAGAGGATTGCTTGAACCCAGAAGGTCAACACTGTAGTGAGCTATGTTCATGCCACTGCACTCCAGCCTGGGCTACAGAGTGAGCCTCTGTCTCAAAAAAATAAAAATAAAATAAAAATAAAATGTAAAAGAATAATCTTAGGACAGAGAAGAATTTCTAAAATAAGATTTTAAAAAAGTACAATCTTTAAAGGAAAAAATTATTAGATATGACTACATTAAAATTAAAGATGTGTCTTCAATGAAGGATTCGACTTACAAAGTTAACAGAGAGGTGTCAGGCTGGGAAAGACATTTGCAACTTCCATAACTTAGAAAAGATTAATATTTAGAATAGAAAGGAACTGCCAATCAACAACTTAAAAACAGAAAGAGCAAATGGAAAAAAAAAAAAAAAAAACTGGTAAAAGTTATAAATAGGCAATGCACAGAAGGGGAAACCTGAACAGATAAATAAGAAGAAATGCTAAACTTCACTATTAGAAAAATGCACAATAAAACAGTAATAAGGGCCCAGCGCGGTGGCTCATGCCTGTAATCCCAGCACTTTGGGAGGCCGAGGTGGGTGGATCATGAGGTCAGGAGTTCAAGACTAGCTGGGCCAAGATGGTGAAACCCCGTCTCTGCTAAAAATACAAAAATTAGCCAGGCGTGGTGGTGGACGCCTGTAATCCCAACTACTCAGGAGGCTGAGGCAGAGAATTGCTTGAACCAGGGAGGCGGAGCTTGCAGTGAGCTGATATCGCGCCACTGCACTCCAGCCTGGGCAACAGAGCAAGAGTCCATCTCAGGAAAAAAAAAAAAAAAAAAGAAACAATAATAAGTACCATTTTAAATTCATCAAATTGGCAAATATTACAAACTGAGGTATTAACAAGTCCTCGCAGGATTATGGGTAACTGACAAGCCTTATAATGAAGTTAAATTGGTACATTTTCAGAGTAACTAACCTTTTAGTGGAAATAAAAATTGTAGGCCTACCTACTATTTGGCTCACATACAGAAAGACACTGTAGACAAGACCAATTTCTCATCACAACAGGAGGAACCTAGAAGGCTCTGCAGAATTGCTTCATTGGAAAGGGGAGCTGGAGTGCTACATCAACGATGTCATCACAATGTCAGAATAACCCAATGTCAGAACACAGCACATCACGATGTCAGAATAACAGCACCAACTGAGCTGTCCATGGTCCTGACTGCCATACTTCCCCCCCTACCCCCGCCTCAACGTCCTTAGCTTGTTTCTGATCTTCCTGCCCAAGTGTTCAGACCATCATCTGTGCTCCACTGTCACCAGCCCAACAGTCCTCTCCCGAATTACTGCTTGGATCTCTGCTGGCCAGGTCAGTGGCACAAAGCCCACCTGCTTCATAGTTAAAATGTTGACAAAAAATAGCAAACGAGTCCGGGCGTGGTGGCTCACACCTGTAATCCCAGCACTTTGGGAGGCCAAGGTGGGTGGATCACCTGAGATCAGGAGTTCGAGACCAGCCTGGCCAACATGGTGAAACTCCATCTCTACTAAAAATACAAAAAATTAGCCAGGCGTGGTGCCGTCCGCCTGTAGTCCCAGATACTCGGAAGGTTAAGACAGGAGAATTGCTTGAATCTGGGAGGTGGAAGTTGCAGTGAGCCAAGATCACGCCACTGCACTCCAGCCTGGGCAACAGAGCAAGACTTGGTCAAAAAAAAAAGCAAACAATAGACATTTTAAACCATGTATTTCAAAATGTTTTCATTTTAGTGAGTTTAAAAGAGAGGAACTCAACAAGAGAGAGGAGAGACAGAAAGACCACTTAAGAGATGAACAACAGGCTGGGCATGGTGGCTCATGCCTATAATCCCAATACTTTGGGTTGCCAAGGCAGGAGGATAACTTGAAGCCACAAGTTTGAGACCAGCCTGGGCAACATGGCAAGACCCTATCTCTACAAAAAAAAGTTTTTTTAAAAAATTAGCCAGGCATGGTGGCACTTGCCTGTAGTCCCACTTCTTGGGAGACTGAGGCAAGAGGATCCCTTGAACCCAGGAGTTGAAGGCTACAGTGAGCTATGATTGTGCCACTGCTCTCCATCCTGGGTGACAGAGTGAGACCTTGTCTCTAAAAAGAACATAAAAAGAGATGAACAATGAAAATGAGAGACAAAGAGGAAGAATGTGAGAATATATAGCATTCAAATGTGAGTTCCAAACTGGTAGAGATTTTTATCTGTTTTGTTTAATGAAATCCCTTATGCCAAGAATAATTACCAACACACAATAAGTGGCTTACTAAATAAGATGAATGAATTAATCAATAGACACAGACATACAAGAAACCCACCGCGAGATCCATTTTGTGGCCTTTCAGACTACTACAGTTTAAACCTGTTAAATTGTTTTGCAGCTCTGAGTATAAGTTACTATCCATGTTATCTGTGTTGAGCTCCTCCAATGTTAGATACAGAAATATACTGCAGCTTCAATTATTTACAAGTCAATGAAGTCCTTTGCATTCAGATTTCCCCATTTCCTAATTCATCAATTTGACTCCATATCCTGTTTTCATTATTCTTTATTTATTCCATTAGTTTTCATCTTCAGATGTGAATCCCTTTCAGACAACCTGTAAAGACCCTCAGCTGACTCTCTCTCTCTGCCTGGACTTGGGACGCATTCTACAACAAAATACAACTTTTTAATTAACTATATTTATAAATGTCATAAATTCATAAAATATTGACCCTGCTTACCTGAGAATATGGAATCAGTGTTTCAAACTGTTGATGAAGTTCCAATAGCTGAATTAACTCTGTATTTTTTTTGGCCTTTTCTCTAACTATATCAATATAATGTTCAGGATTTTCTGCAAATGAATATGCAGCATCTTTACTATTGAATGTGTAATATTTTTCTTTATATTTTAAAATTCCAATTGCTGGATTTCCTGGAAATAAAAAAAGAATTAAACATGAAATGTCTTGATCACTTATGAAATATTGTTATTCTGGCCAGGCACGGTGGCTCACACCTGTAATTCCAACACTTTGGGAGGCCAAAGCAGGCAGACCACCTGAGGTCAGGAGTTCAAGACCAGCCTGACCAACAAGGTGAAACCCCGTCTCTACTAAAAATACAAAAATTAGATGGGCATGGTGGTGTGCGCCTGTAATCCCAGCTACTCAGGAGGCTGAGGCAGGAGAATAGCTTGAACCTGAGAGGCGGAGGTTGCAGTGAGCTGAGATCCTGCCATTGCACTCCAGCCTGAGTGACAGAGCGAGACTCTGTCTCAAGAAAAAAAAAAGAAAAAAGAAAAGAAATATTGTTACTCTGTGTTTGTAACATACCATAGAGCCATTCCTCCACTCTTTTTTTTTTTTTTTTTTTTTTTTTTTACACTGTGTCCCACTCTTATCATCCTGGCTGGAGTGCAGTGGCACAATCTTAGCTCACTACAGCATCAACATCCCAGGCTCGAGGGATCCTCCTGCCTTACCCTCCCAGGTAGCTGGGACTACAGACATTTGCCACCCCACCTAGCTAACCCGTTTTTGGAGAGATGGGGTTTCACCACGTCACCCAGGCTGGTCTCAAACTCCTAGACTCAAGCGATCTGCTCCCCTCGGCCTACCAAAGTGCTGGGATTACTGACATGAGCCACCACTCCTGGCCCTTCCACTTTTTTTTTTTTGAAACAAAGTCTTGCTCTGTCACCCAGGCCAGAGTCGAGTGGCATGATCTCAGCTCACTGCAACCTCTGCCTCCCGGGTTCAAGCAATTCTCCTGTCTCAGCTTCTTGAGTAGCTGGGATTACAGGTGTGCACCACCATACCCGGCTAATTTTTGTATTTTTAATAGAGATGGGGTTTCAACAAATTGGTCAGGCTGGTCTTGAACTCCTGACCTCAGGTGATCCACCTGCCTTGGCCTCCCAAAGTGCTGAGATTACAGGCATGAGCCACCACGCTCAGCCCCTTCCACTCCATTTTTAACATATCACTTATGCTTTTTTTGCTAAGATGTTATAATTAGCATTTTAATTTATACATTTTTAAATGATACGTGAAATCCATACTAATTATATTTTTATGTTAAAGTATGATTTTAAACTGTATTTTATGTAAAAATACTTTCCACTATTCAGATTAATAATTTTAAAAATCTTTTATGAAAAGCCACTTACTCATCTGGCAGATTTTTCAAAGCTACTTCAACTAACTACTGCAAGGTCTATGTTTAAAATAACCCAGTAAGAACTACAAACATGGGACATCTTTTCCAAAATGCAAATTTGCATATTAGCAAATATTTTTCATTGTAAAAAGATACTACATAGACTATAGATAATTAAATATCCACATAGTTTGTGGAAGTTGTATTAGAAAGAGTAACTGTCTTATTCATTTATTCTTTCATTTATCCAACAAATAGTTATTGACCATGTTCCTGGTGCCAAGCCTGTAGAAGATAACAGATTCCCTGCTCTCAAAAAATCACAAATATATCATAGGCCACAGAGTGACAAGTGCTACATGAAAAAAGTAATAAAGGAGGTTAAACACATAGTAAAAGGAAGAAGTGTGCAAGTGATATTTTAAATTGAGTGATTAGGGAAGACTGAATAAAATGAGGCAGCAAGGCAAGTAGCAACCTGGAAGGCAGAGCTTTCCAAGTAGAGTGCAAAGGCTCTGAGGTGAAAGTGGGCTTCGACTGTTCAATAGCAGCAAGAAAGCCAGAGCCACTGGAATGGAGCAAACGAGGGAAGGTGTGGTACGCAATGAAGTCATCAGAAAAGGACCCTGACTGCTAAGCACCAGTGTTACCCTGGGATTTAAGTCATGTGGTCTCCACTCCTGAATGGAAGAAGGGAAGTTCTACAGAATTCATCTGAGGTAATGCAGGTTGCTGCTACCCAGAAAATAATGAAGTAGAAATAATGTAGCAAGCAGAAATAGTCAGAATTCACTTATTCAGAGAGGAATCTGAAACTCATGGCCCCACAAGTTCTTCTACTTCTCTACTTTGCCCTCTTTCTTCCTAGACTTATAGCTGGGAGACCCTGGAAGGGACCATACAGACCTCCTGGTTGATCCTTTTCATTTTCCTGAGGGGAAACTGAAGTTCACAGAAGGTGTGAGATCTCATAAATGTTACCTAGTTCACTAAGGACACAGACCAGGCTCTTCTGAACTCTAGCCCATAGCTTTTCCAACCACATCATGCTTCCTCTGCCATCATGCCACATCCATGTTTCTCCTTTCCTTTCTTATTTGTGTGAAACAGGGAAGGAAGGAAGGAATGGAGAGGAGGAGGGAGGTGAGGGAGGGAGAGAGGGAGGGAGGAGAAAGAAAAGGAAACTATCTACATTCCATTGCATTTTACCTCTGCAAGGCTCTTGATTGTTTTCTCCCCAGTACCAGTGACCCTCATTGGGCCTCAGAATATTACTCTCAATTTCCCACAGTAAATATTTTGTTATTCCCATTATCAAAAATGTAATAACATTTTTTAAATGAGCCAATTGTGTGCTCTCTCTAGCCTGTATACACACAATCCCAATAGTTATTTTTAACGAAAAAATACCCAATTTTGAAATGTAACAAAAGAAATAAAGAAAAAAAAAGGAGAAAGAAGAAAAATAAGGTTAATGGTGTAAAGTAAATTAAGACACAATCTTGTCACAGTTTTCATTCTAGCCCTGGCAGGCTTTTTCTTATTCACAATTCACACAGCACTTTTTGGATAGTAATTTATTTCATCTCTATCTCTGATTTATTCTTTATTTTGGAGAAGCTCTAATAATATATACATCATAGAGAAATTTTACTTGATATTAGCCATTTCCTTATGGGGTCTAACAGAGAAATCCTGATCTATACCAGTGAAATATAACTGTAAAGTAACAAAGAATATTTTTAAACAAACATGTCAGTCAAGTAAGTGTTGCTCTTTCAGTAATTACTTTGGAAGATGATGTATTTTTAGTAATGTTGTGTAACATTTGTTTTGTTTTGTTTTTGAAAGGAAGTCTCACTTTGTTGCCCAGCTGAAATGCAGTGAAATGATCTCTGCTCACTGCAATCTCTGCCTCCCGAGTTCAAGTGACTCTCCTGCCTCAGCCTCCCGGGTAGCTGGGACTACAGGCATGTACCACCACGCCTGGCTAATTTTTGCATTTTTAGTAAAGACAGGGTTTCACCATGTTGGCCAGGCTGGTCTCCAACCCCTGACCTCAAGTGATCCACCCGCCTTGGCCTCCCAAAGTGCTGGGATTACAGGCATGAGCCACTGCATCCAGTCAATGTCGTGTAACATTTCTAGAATTCTTCATTGGCCATATAAGTCATCCCCTTTCAATGGTACTACAGCATCCATATTTCATAACACATATATGCTTTCCATTACTAATCACTTATAATTTCTTACTTATGTCAGTCTACCAGAGCACCTCCAAAATGAAGACTTTGTCTGGATCATCTTTGTAGATCCTTGGTTAGTTCACCATTAGAGTTCATAAAGTTTTTAAAGTGAATATTCAAGTGACAATGACAGAACTCCATATAAACAAAAAATTGGGGAAAGGAGAGCAGTCTCATTTCCAATGATATACCTGGAAGGAGAAGACCATCTGTTGCAGCAAACGTGTAAGCACAAAATCCCCGATATTGAATTAATAGTTTATCAAAATTTGCTGTTGTTTCTGGGAAAAGCCATTCTAGTTTTCTGAAATCTGCCACATTTACTCTATCTTCTGAAATGAAGGAGAACAAGAAAAGTTTTAATTCAGTGAGAAGGTTAAATTTCCAAAATAAATCAGCAGGAGCTCATTCTAAACATTACCTTTTTATTGCTTTGTACTTTTCCTGATGGGCAAAAACTTGATATTCACAAAACCAGATTTATGAGGAAGTCTATTGAAGCAAAGAAGTACAAATGACCTCAGTGGCATGTAAAGTTTCTGGGGCAAACTTGGAGGTAAGACTTTGCTCCAGAATGAAGAACAGAAAGGAAAGGCCATTTCTGACAAGCATGCTCTGCTGCTGAGAGAAAAGCTGACAGGGGCACTTCCGAAAGTGTGTGGTGCTTCCTGCTGCTGCAGAGTAAATAACCCAAGGAGTTGAGCAGAATAGACTAGCTGCTATGTGACCCAGACAGAGATACATTGACCTCATTCAATATAGCGTTGTTCTTAATAACATGCTAGGTGGCAACATATGTTTAATATGACGCTTATTAACTAGGACTATTGCTTCTTGAAACAACAGAGAAGGTTCTGAGCAAAGACAGTCAAGAAAATGTTAACTGATTTTGATAACAAGGTGTGTAATTTTTGTTCTTTGTATTTTTAAAAATTCTTCCTACTGTTGGTTAGCTTACCTATTTACATTTGATAAGCAAACTGAATAAATTTTTACACAAATAATACCACGTATTTATAAAACATTGTTCCCGAAGTTTCTTAGCTTTCACAATCCCATGTACACTTCTATGCCTGGTTCTAAACCCAAAAAGCAGGCACCACAAATGATCTTGTGGCTACCACTAAAAGTAAATGCATAATTTATAGAAAATAAATCCTCTCTCTTTTTTCCTGATATGCCTGAAAGCCTCTAACAATGACAGTATGTGGAAGGTGTAAATGAAATTCTTTTAGAACACTGGCTTGACCAATTCACTGGAGCAGTAATTTAATAGTGTTGTAGTGAATAAAAAGTTCTGACGTATGGTAGAAAATGATACATCTAAATCTAAGAAGCTGCAGGTAAAGTCTTGCCAATATGGTTAGCTTAATATCCACTGTTGAAGCTACTTTAACTTTTCAATTTCATTTAATATTTGCTTAGATATGCTGCTTTAATGAAATGAAATGAGAAATAAAAAACTTGAACTGAAAGGATATTTTTTAGTTTCTGATTTAGTTTTCAGTTTTTATGCATTCTAATAGTTTAAGAAATCACTGCTATATTTTTATTTTTCATCTTTAAAAAGTAGAATTTGAAAAGAAAATTCATAAATTATTAATTTTATTTTCTGAAAAAACTCTCTTTTTATGCAACATCAGCATCTCAAGTCCCAGGCTCTTTTTTGGCATTCCTCATAAATGTTAACTTGTCTTTAGCTAAGATAGAAGGGTCTAAAATGGTTAAAAGTTTATTGATAAAGATTGTTTTTCTGTAAGAATCAATGCATCTTCTAAAGGACCTAAATAAGCTCAATTAATTTTACAGGGATAACATTTATTGGTTTGTAAATTCTCAACTTGAATCTGAGGTAGATATGTAACAAATAACATTCTAAAGAAATGGAGCTTCATTTGCAACAAAATAGCAAGGATTAATATTCTTTTCTCCAACAAATCAATAATAAAATTACTAGGACTGCAATAGAAACACATCTGCACAAAAAATGATTGTTAACCAAAACATGAACGATAACACTAGGAATGGTTATTGCTGGAGAGTAAGTTATTCAGTTTACATTTTTTCTGTTTTCCACACTTCCTCTCATGAACATGAGTGCTTTCTTTTTTTTTTTTTTCTCCCTGAGATGGAGCCTCACTCTGTCACCCAGGCTGGAGTGCAATGGCACAATCTTGGCTCACTGCAACCTCTGCCCCACTGGGTTTAAGCGATTCTTGTGCCTCAGCCTCCCGGGTAGCTGGGATTACAAGCGCCCGCCACCATGCCCGGCTAATTTTTGTATTTTTAATAGAGACAGAGTTTTGCCATGTTGGCCAGGTTGGTTTCGAACTCCTGGCCTCAGGTGATCCACCCGCCTGAGCCCCCCAAAGTGCTGGGATTACAGGCATGAGCCACCACACCCGGCCCTCATTAGTACTTTATAATCAAGAAAAATGTTTAATGCTTCATCAGAAAGATATGAAATTTTTAGAACAAAAGAGTGACTTTATTCTAGAGGTAATTTTAAAAAGAAGAGGAAATAATGGATGATTTTCATTACCCATGTGCTCTTTCATTCTACACACATCAGTTTTCACAGTCGCTCCATTAAGATGACGTTGCATTGCTCTCTCAGGAAAGTAAAGTTCGTGAGCACCCAGGAACGGCTGAATGTGAGTGAATAAATTACTGAGGACACCAACCACAATAGTTTCGTCTTGCAAGCTGGTCCACAGAGTAGAAAGTGCAATGAAGATAGGCTGAGGAAGAGAAAAAAAAAATTCAAAATGCAACTGTGTAATAAAATTATAAATCACTGTACTCTTTAAGATAAATACAATTGTCATTTGTAAAGAAGTTAATTCTCCCTAAGCAAAAGTCGTACGAACTTAGACAGTAGACTTTAGATAGAAATTTAACTCATAAATTATGAGAAAATAAATTTGCATTTTATTTCAAAGCATTTTATTTTAGTATGATTATTATAAAGTTAGTTTACTTTAAAAAGCCAAACACATGTGATCACCTAAGAAAGATTTATGGACTCTTCATCTCAAAAAACCAAGGGAAAAATGTCTTAAGAAAAAAAAAGAGGGCCACGCACAGTAGCTCACGCCTGTAATCCCAGCATTTTGGGAGGCCAAGGTGGGCAGATCACCTGAGGTCAGGAGTTCAAACCAGCCTGGCCAACATGGCAAAACCCCATCTCTACTAAAAATACAAAAATTAGCCGGGCATGGTGGTGGGCACCTGTAACCCCAGCTACTTGGGAGGCTGAGGCAGGAGAATGGCATGAACCCGGGAGGCGGAGCTTGCAGTGAGCCAAGATCGTGCCACTGCACTCCAGCCTGGGCAACAAAGCGAGACTCTGTCTCAAAAAAATAAATAAATAAATAAATAAATAAATAAATAAATAAAATACTGCACATACATTTTATACCTCCTTATCCAGATAAGGTTTGCCAGGTTTGTCCATAAAATGGTGCAGATAATCAGAAAACCAGTATTTAAGTGCAGGCCTGGTAAACAAAGTGATTATTATCTGTCTTTTCAGAAAGGTCACGAGTTACATCATGTCTGTACTGGAGGCAATTTCTGACCAGCTACTGTGAATACATTTTCAACCACAGTACTATGATTATTTCTGTTGTCACAGCCAATACTGATACGGTTATCATACTATACAGTTGCAGTTCCTTTAGTAGCAGTTGCTTATGTAGGGGAATTCTCTCATCCAACTTATAATTTACTATTATGGCAAAGTAACCATAAAGAACAGGATCAACTTATATAAAACATTGTATTTTTAGAAATTAAATATAATTATAATGACTTGTGATCCAATATTATAGGGCTCAAAAGGAAATTCACCTTAAGGTCAAAGTTTATGACAAATACTTACAAAGACTTGTGATGTTGGGACTGCTGTCTTTGATTTTATGGTCATTTTTAGTTGTTCCAGATGGGCTCCTAACTGTTTTGTCATCATTTCCACTTCTTGAGCACCAGTAATTATATCTGACTGTGAAAACAATATAATTTGCATTAATATTTTTATAATTCTAGTATAAAAATCATATGTGTTTCAGACCATACCTGCTCCCCACATCTTCTGAAAGTAGGCTCAATGACAGCAGGAAGTCTGTTCTCCGTGAGATCCTCAACACCTAGAACAGTATCAGCATATGTATGGGGCTTCCAAGATATTTGTGAGTTGGATGAATCTTTTGAAATACAATGGATATAATTTTTCTTAAATGTATACAGGTATTCTTAGATTTAAGTATAATTGCATTCTTGAGAAATGGATCCTCAAGTATCCATTTTTGTATAGCTGTTATTTTCCTATTCCTCAATGATAAAACTAATTAGGGGTTCCTCTGATAATTATGTTGATAACAAGATTTAATAAAATCACATTGAGAAAAACCTGTTAGGAGTGAGCCAGCAGGGCACTGCAGATTGGCAAGCTAGAGAGATCTCACCTGTGATGTATGACATATGGTTTAGGGGATGACCAGAATCCTTGTACTGAGTCAGGGGATATTCTTGAAGACCCTGTCATAGAGTTCATCATTGAAATGACTCACAAGGCACTGTGAATTGGAAGACAAGGTTGAGTACAAGTTTACAATATTGTTTTCTTGATTTGAAGGGACCCAAGGAAGTTTGCTAGGGTTAAAGGTTTGATTACTATGAATGCAGACCTGAAATGAACTGAAAACCATTTGATGAAGCAAACTATGGATCTTGACACCTTTTGTACTTTCTGAAACTTCATTATCATCTGGGGGAAGTACATACATTAACTGTATATTTTCTATAGTAAGGTCCTGATAGATATCAAGCCATGTAAATGAAAGATGGAAAAACACAAAGTTTTTAGCTTTTATTTTCATGCCTTCAATTTTAGGGTGATCTTTGAGCCTTTAATCACCTGTCTTTATATAATAAGCATACTTGAAATACTTGTTGGGTTTCAATGATCACACATAATAAGTTAAAGTACCTTGTAAACCATTTATTTCTTTCTGACTTTTGACTATCTAAAGGATGAAGTAGTATTTATATGTTAGCTATATTTGTGCCATTGTAAGCTATACTGTAGCTATTTATTATGCAAGATCTAAAAGACATCTTTGACTTTATGATAACTAAGAAATGCTTCATGTATCCTTAAGTTTTTAGACAACTAAACTGAAAGGTTATTAAAGGTAGTGAACTGGTTTGTGATCCTTCTAAGGAGATGATAAAGAAAAATACGGTTCTTTGTAAGAATTTTTATCTGTCTTAAAAGATAATTTGTCTTAATATTCTTTTCTTCATATAACAAGAGTGATTATTTTTCAAGAAACTAAGTTTCATGTGAATGCTTGTTAGAAGGCATTTTTTATTTAAAACCTTCTGAGGCTTATAAAATACTGTCTGTTAAGTTTTAGGAGAACTCATGTTCCCACATCAGATTAAATCTTCTCAGAATAAATGCTTTCAGTAGCAAGAATAGTTTTAAAAGTTGATGACAGGATAAGCATTTGAGATAGTATTCTATTAACATATTTGTAAGTACTTGTTCATTGTGGAAATGTGTACTTGATTAAAATATATATGGCTATGGAAACTGCTTTTGCAGTTCAGGATATACAGGTTTGTGTGTATTTAGCTTATTGTAAAGCCTTTAGTTTAAAAAAAGGATTAAAATTACATTCAAATAGATCACTGAATGTTACTCTTTGTGAAACTGAACTTTTTGTGTGACACAAACATTATAAATCAACACTTGGGAAACGTTTACTTTCTTAATCTATCGATACAAGGAATCAAGGAATAAAGTATGAAAAATTAAACGAAAAAAATCACATTGAAGAATGCAGAAAATCTTAAAAGTTACCACATTGAGAGAAAAACAATATATTTGATACAACAATCATGGTCTGAAAATAAGTTGCTAAACACTGAATTTGAAATAATTATATTTGGCCGGGCATGGTGGCTCGCGCCTATAATCCCAGCACTTTGGGAGGCTAAGGCAGGTGTATCATGAGGTCAGGAGATCGAGACCATCCTGGCTAACACGGTGAAACCCCATTTCTACTAAAAATACAAAAAATTAGCTTGGCGTGGTGGCACGTGCCTATAGTCCCAGCTACTCAGGAGGCTGAGGCAGGAGAACAGCTTGACCTCAGGAGGCAGAAGTTGCAGTGAGCCAAGATCGAGCCACTGCACTCCAGCTTGGGCAACAGAGCAAAACTCTGTCCCCCCCCCAAAAAAAAGAAAGAAAGAATTATATTTATTCTTACTATATGCTAAGCACCACATTAAATACTTACACATACGAAAAGGGATAAATACAAGTGAGAAAATCAAAGAATAGTAAGGTAAGTAAATTGTCTAAGTAGATGCAGCTAATAAGGGGTAGCATCATGGTGGATCCCAAACCATCTGAGCCCACAGCCCAGCTCTTAACCATTATACCGTGGTGCCCCAGATGTCACCAGAAATGGTTGTGGTGTGGGTTTATCAGTATAGCATAAAAGAATGACATCTATTTGAAGAGAAAAAAGTACATTTGCATCCTCAGACATCTATATGTAACCTAATTAAATGCTTTCTAGACTCTTTTAAATGACAAAAATAATTACTTCATGAGTAACATCAGCTATTATCATTGTATTACAACTAACAAATTTTTATTCATAAATGTAATATGTATCCTATTTTAATTTTACCCATACTGCTGTTTAAGCATTACTCCTCCTCCTGCTTTATTCTTCCATACACTATTATCTATTACATCGAACAGGTCTCTTGTCTACCCTCATACAGTGTTTTTCCCCTTGCTTGTTAAGTTTTGTTTTAGGAATCAATATGAAAATGCAGTCTTTAAAGTCTTTTAAGATTTGTGCAACAGCAACAAGAAACAGGAATACATTTGCACACGTTCTCCAAAGTAAAAGTGGCATTTGACATGCTATACTTATTAAAACCTACAATTGAAAATATTCTAAGGCTGGGCGGGGGGCAGTGGCTCACGCCTGTAATCCCAGAACTTTGGGAGGCCAAGGGGGGGATCACGAGGTCAAGAGATAAGAGACCTTCCTGGCTAACACAGTGAAACCCCATCTCTACTAAAAATACAAAAAATTAGCCGGGCATGGTGGCGGGCGCCTGTAGTCCCAGCTACTCGGGAGGCTGAGGCAGGAGAATGGCGTGAACCCGGGAGGCGGAGCTTGCAGTGAGCGGAGATCGCGCCATTGCACTCCAGCCTGGATGACAGAGCGAGACCCTGTCTCAAAAAGAAAAAAAAAATACTGTAGACCCCTCCCCCAAGCTATATTTGCAGGATCCATTCAGAGTAGGCACACAGAGCTTCTTGCTTTTTTCTAATAATATCCTAGAAATTATTTACATTTTACTAAAAAGAATTTATTCACAAACATCCAGAGTTGTTTTTTTTTTTTTTTTTTTTTTTTGAGACAGAGTCTCACTCTGTCGCCCAGGCTGGAGTGCAGTGGCACAATCTCGGCTCACTGCAGCCTTCGCTCTCCGAGTTCAAGCGATTCTCCTGCCTCAGGCTCCCAAGTAGCTGGGATTACAGGCGCCTTCCACCGCACCTGGCTAATTTTTTGTATTTTTAGTAGAGATGGGGTTTCACCATCTTGACCGGGCTGCTCTTGAATTCCTGACCTCGTGATCAACCCGTCTCAGCCTCCCGAAGTGCTGGGATTACAGGCGTGAGCCACTGCACCCGGACCTTTTTTTTTTTTTTTTTTTTTTTTGAGATGGAGTTTCACTCTTGTTGTCCAACCTGGAGTGCAATGGTGCGATCTGGCTTACTGCAACCTCTGCCTCCCGGGTTCAAGCGATTCTCCTGCCTCAGCCTCCTGAGTAGCTAGGATTACAGGCTCCCACCACCATGCCTGGCTGATTTTTTGTATTTTTAGTAGAAATGGGGTTTCACCATGTTAGCCAGGCTGGTCTCGAACTCCTGACCTCAGGTGATCCGCCCCACCTCGGCCTCCCGCGAGCCACCACACCCAGCCCATCTAGAGTTTTTAATTATAATATTAGTCCTCTAAAAATGCTATCACTTAAAAAAAATTTATCATAACATTCAGATGTTTGGCAAAAGCATGTGATCCCAGCATGTTTCTTTGTCTTCTTCCGCTTCCCCTTACCTTTTAAACATTTTTTATACGTTCCTCATACTTTCTTCCACGGACAATTTTCAACAAGTCTAGTCAAACTTATAGAAGCAGAAATTAGAATGGAATTTCTGATGTTTAATGTTCTTATTACAACAGAAATAAAATATAAAACAAGCACAAATTCCACCTGATTTTTTTACTTGCTTTATCAAGGAGAATCAAGAAGCCCTGTGTTGTGTGTCTGTGGATGGGCCCTGCAAAAATAGCTTGGGGGGAAAGAACTCTACAAAAATCTTGACTTACAGGTTTTAACAAATGTGCTGTCAAATGCAACTGTTACTTGCACAATATCATGCAGCTTTCTCTCTTTGGTGTCTGCCTTGCCCTTTAAAAGCCCATGGAGGATGGAATTTTATTCTCTCAGTAAAGAGTCAGCAAAACTATGATCATCACTTCCTTTTCTTTTCTAGAATATTTCTGTGTGTTCACTGCAGCAGATAAAGGCCTGATCAAAACAAAATAATTCACTATCTTACATAGGCTATATATATATATGTGTGTGTGTGTGTGTGTGTGTGTGTATATATATATATATATATTTTTTTTTTTTTTTGAGACAGAGTCTCACTCTGTCACCCAGACTGGAATGCAGTGGCACAATCTTGGCTCACTGCAACCTCTGTCTCCTGGGTTCAAGCGATTCTCCTGCCTCAGCCTCCTGAGTAGCTGGGATTACAGGCACCCACAACCATGTCCAGCTAACTTTTGTATTTTTAGTAGAGACGGGGTTTCACCATGTTGGCCAGGCTGGTCTCGAACTTCTGACCTCAGGTGATCCGCCTGCCTCAGCCTCCCAAAGTGCTGGGATTACAGGCATGAGCCACCGCACTCGGCCCATATTGGATTTTTTAAATGTTCACATAAACTGAAACTTTGAGGAGAGAATTTTTAAAAATCAAAATTGCTACTTTAAAATTTTTAATTAGTATCTGTTCAAATAATGTGACTTTAAAAAGAATATTCATAGATTTTAATATAGGAAAAATCTTGGCTAATTTTAAATTGATGCAGTTTATAATCTAGAGATAATACTGATTAAACCAATATCCATTTCATAATAATCAACCTTAATTGTCACTAAGACTGATAGGGAAGGATTGAATAGTTTAAAAACAAAACAAAACAAAAAAGACTCTTTGAGCAAAGAATCAGAAAGTTAAGAAAACTCATCCTGATCCTGACTAAAGTCAGCACAAAATGGCCATAAAGAGCGCTTGGATAAGAAAATTAACTTTTTCACCAACATGAGCAGCAAGGAGCTTGGAAATGAAATACTGTATGGAAAAATAAAAGCTCTTCAGCTGTTCCACTAGACAAATGAAATCACAGCTGTTCAGCTAACACCCTAACGATGATGATGATAATCATAAACAACATCATCATCACTTTATTGAGCCTTTGCACCAGGCGCTATGCTGCCTTATTTACATGGTGAAGACTATGAATAACCCCATTTTACAGATATGGAAACCAAGGCACAGGGAAGTTAAGCAGCTTCCTTAGGGACACAGATTTAGTAATTGGCAAAGTCATGATTAGAATGCATGTAGTCTGGTTGCAAAGCCCACACTCATCACTTCTACACTTTACTCACTGTCCCTCTCTAGCTGTGAGAAGTAGAACGCCAATGAGAATTTAAGACAGTTGGTGGATTCATGATTGAAAGCTATGAGAAGATTCTATATAATGAATGACATCTTCTGCAACATCCTTACAGTTGTGTGACAGTTTCCCAAGGTTCTTTCTTATAGTATCGCCTTTGAATGCAGGTGACAAATGTGAATGCGAAGTTCTACTCCTGTGGACTCACATGCACTTCAAAATAAACTGATTACAAAATCCCCTTAGTAGCTGACTAGTTAACATAAGGCTGATAGCCACAAGGTAATGTAAAGGGAAATATCTACCCCAAGAGAGTGACTTGGTTTTTATTATTATTTATATATTTATTCTTTTTAGAGATGGGGTCTTCCTTGGCTACCCAAGCTGGAGCGCAGTGGCATAGCCAAAGCTTACTGTATCCTCAAACTCCTGGGCTCAAGCAATTTTCCTACTTCAGCCTCCTGAGTAGCTGGGATTATAAGTTAGTACCATTAGTACTATGCTTGCCTAATTTTATTTTTTGTAGAGACAGGGTCTCGTAATGTTGCCCAGGCTGGTCTTGAATTCCTGGCCTCAAGCAGTTCTCTAACCTCAGCCTCCCAGCTAGGATCCTCCTTCTGAAGACAATGAGATAGGCTAGTTGTGAGGACAACCCCTAGTCTGAATGAAGTCATGTCATCTGGACAGCTAGGTAAGGAGAGAGGACAGACTAAGTGCATCCAATAGTAGTACCAAGTCATTAAAATACAAGTTAAAAAGAAGAGGTGGTCAGAATACATCCTATTCTACCCCTCAAGAAATTAGCATTCACTCATACAAAAGACAGTTCCATTAACCGAGAATCTCATAGTTACTGGAAAACAGAGGTTGTGTAAAAGTAAATGGTGATGAGTGGGAACATAACTTGGCATCATGCAGTAATTAACAGACTGTCTTCCTTACAACCCTAGAGTGTCATGGGGATATCCCTTAGTGAAAAGGTCCTCCAATCCCTTTATGTAGATATCTGTTTTATATTTGTAAGATTCTGAGTAAGTTTCTATCTGACAGAAACGGCACTGCTACTTTTTAAAAAGGTTATAACCACCACTTTACCATATTTTCCAACTCTCTAGGGATACTGTGTGGCTTGTTCATTAGATCTAGAAACACCAGATATAAAAATCTTATCTGGCTAGGTGTGGTGGCTTATGCCTGTTACCCCAGCACTTTGGGAAGCCGAGGCAGGAGGATTGCTTGAGGCCAGATGTTCGAGACTAGCCTGGGCAACATAGCAAGACCCCACTCTATATTTTTTTTTTTTAAGTTTTTTTGAGTCAGGGTCAGGGTCTCCCTCTGTCACCCATGCCAGAGTGCAGTGGTGTGATCTTGGCCTCACTGCAACCTCTGCCCCCCAGGCTCAAGTGATCCTCCCACCTCAGCCTCTTCAGCAGCTGAGAATACAGGCACATGTCACGGTGCCCGGCTAATTTTCTTACTTTTTGTAGAGACAGCGTTTTGCCATGTTGGCCGGGCTGGTTTTGAACTCTTGGGCTTAAGCGATCTGCCCACCTTTGCCTCCCAAAGTGCCAAGATTGCAGACATGAGCCACTGTGCCTGGCCTACAAAAAACCTTTAAAAAAAAATCCTTTCCACCAGTTACAGTGAGAACAAATAATTACACAAAAATTATTTGAAAGGCAACCACCTGCCAAACAATGTTAGCTACTTGCTCTGAACTAAAATAAACACAGTATTACTTACATACACACCATTGTTTAACTACAGTATGCTAACAATCATATTATCAAGTACCAATGAAAAAATACAAATTCAATTTCTACCAAAAGATTTTCATTAAAATCAAAGCCCAACTCTTCTATTTCTATTTTGATTCCTAACCCTACCAAAGCAATGTAAACCGAGCAGTTATTGAGGTTGTCTCCTTAATTAGTGACCTGGTTCTACCTGATGTGGCCTTATATAAAGAGATTGCGTTATACGGAAAAAGATACCTATATCTTATGAACTTAACTCACCAAAATGATCTGAAGGAAGACCTCATATTGTCGTATATTATAGAGCGCTTCTTTTAACATATATGGCTGAAGTTCAGCTCTCATGTGTGGGTCGTTGGCTGCCTTCTCAAGGATGGCTGTGTAGCGGTATACCTGGCTCCGGGCAGTCTCAAGCTGGTAATCAATATGCTGCATGGTGGCTGGGATTGCTACATGGAGAACAGCTGGCACTGTTTGTAAGAGTATAAAAAGGCAGTCATAAAGGAGACTAAAAACAATTAAGGAGAAGAAGCCTAGAAAGTAGTTACATTTTAAGCATTAAGTTAGGGTTTTTTCCCCAATCAAATTAGTAATAATGAGGCATGTGTTTCATGGGTCCCACCACATAAAGAAATGAATCTAGGCTGGGCGCGGTGGCTCACGCCTGTAATCCCAGCACCTTGGGAGGCTGAGGCGGGCGGATCATGAGGTCAAGAGATTGAGACCATCCTGGCTAACATGGTGAAACCCCGTGTCTACTAAAAATACAAAAATTAACCGGGTGTGGTGCCGCGCGCCTGTAATCTCAGCACAGGAGAATCACTTGAACCCGGGAGGGGGAAGTTGCAGTGAGCCGAGATCGCGCCATTGCACTCCAATCTGGAACACAAGAGCGAAACTCCATCTC